ATTAATACAAATATAGTAGATGTTCTGATAACTAAAATATAGTATTAAACCATCTGTTTCATAACAACCCATGGAGGAATTCCTCTTTTACACTTTAACATGTTTGCCTGACTTGAAGATTCTAATGTGAAGTTGAGGAGTTGCCTGAACTATACCCTCTTTTAGGGTAAATCTCATTATTCCTTTATCCAGACGCGTACCGCTTCAATATAAAGTTGATACCCGGGGGTGAAGATGGGGTTTACGTTTTGGGCAGCACAAATATCCTCCGCTGTTCCGTCAGCATGAATAGGAGTCTCATGGCCTTAGATTCCCATGTACCGACTTGCCGGCTGAAGGCTCTCAATGAGAATAATCAAACTACATCGAATGGTGCTATAAAGCTGGGCCCGAATCAAAAATTTGGCTCTATTGCCATTGACATCATCATTTCTATGTTCGGAATTGATGTCATGGTCAAATCCACAACTCTGTGGTTCATAGGTACTCCACTTTACCCATTGCAATACGTCTTCGTGATAAAGAGAATTTGTCTTATTTGAATTAGAACTATCCATCTATTTGACCATTAACTACATTTTGCCTTTTGAAAAGCTGGCAATTAAGCTACTGTCGCATTCAAATAAACTGGTCTATTCGCTGTACGATATAAGAGGTCTTCAGCGAATGGACCAAATGGCCCTTCTGGTAGCGAAAGTATTTGTCTCTACAGATCCTACTGCGTTGAAGCTTCAAATTTTGAACGACTCGCATATATTTGATACCCGAGAGACAGGAACAATAACCTGCGTATTGATACCAGAGAATATGACGTCAGTCTTTGGAAAGCATCTTCAATGGATAGACACTCACACGAAGGATGTGGTGGCACACTCCCGCTACAATCAACTTTTTATTCGCAGTCAAGAGGAGATGCAACGCAAGTACACTTGCAAATTCAAGATTGGGAATCTAAAAAAGGACTTACACTTAAAATATTTTGGTAAATTACGGCAGGCCTCCTTATTTGCAGATTTTAGTGGAGTAAAATTGACCTTCATATGTCACAGGGCTATGTCTTAAACTCGACCTAGCTATTAGTGACAAAGGGTCCGGTAGATCAAGTAATCATAAGTTGATTGGAAAAACTTATCCTTTATATACAACGCTAACGGTCTGTGTCAGACACTGTACATCATAATGTAAGCCTACAAAAAATTTAAGCAGTATTTTTAGGCTGCAAGAAGGAGTTCTGAACCACACAGCAGTTTTTTTCTAACCTATTCCTTAAGATCAGTTTTGATTGACAATTTGAAAGGAAAATGAATTTGAGTTAATGCTCATGCCGTCCCACATGATAATCTCCTAATTTTATTCTTTAGATTTAGCGAAAGTACGATTTACAACAAATTCAAGAACAGTTTACGATATTTATGAGAAGGGCCATCTTATACACTGCTACATTCTACCTGAAGAAATGCGAAAACTCACTGACCTTGTGTGGGGGTGGTATGATCCTGTGAAAAAAGTCCACAAGAAGTTTATCGAAGTTGACACGTTTGAAGAGGGAGCCCACCACTTGAGCTGCAACTCACCACAGTTCAGCATACCCCCACTTAACATCACCTTCTATATTGTGCGTGAGTTTTCATTTTACCTCCACACGATTTGCTTGGTATTTGCAAATGTCAGTTCTATGTTTGAGTATCGAATAAGTGTTGCTAAAATAAAAGTGGCCACGTTAAGAAAATTCCACTTTTATGCAACAATTCTCCGATTTTTTTAAAGGAAAAGAGGTGGGGAATCTTGGTCCGTTTCCTTATACATATCTTGTTCCATTTGACTCTTTACTCTCGTAACATGGTTACTTTCCCTTAAAACACAAGCTGACCCAATAAAATCCAAAAGTTGGATGGATTTTAGATAAACTTTTAAATGCCGATTGAAGAGGCAGAATAGTTAAATCTAGTTAGTTCATTCTTGAAGCATAATAGAGGTTGGAAGAGAAGATCGAAAAAGAGTAGACTAGCTCACAATGACCAAAATCCTCAAAAATAAGTTCATGGTTAAAAACAGTCCTTCCATCCCAATGTATTAAGCACGTTAAATGTAGACTCGTAAAATGAGCTTCTTAGAAACATGTAAGCAGACTGGTCAGCTAAGTCATCACATTTGACAAAGAAGTGTTAACTAACTTCTGAGATTGTAAGCTATATTGCAGGCCACAAAGCGGTACATCTTATCCTCGATGCTCCAGCTCAGTCACGATACAAGCGTTCGGACCCGTTGCCCAAGTGCGTCTGGTCGGTGCCGTGGATGAACAAGGAGCCTGGTTTGCGACCCACTCTGGTCCGAAGTGGTTTCAATCGTGGTACAATTTTCCGAGGCCGCACAACGTGCACTTCTACAGTGCCTGGTCTTGAAAGGCAATTTGTGCATGATTTCAGAATAATTGGTGAGGATAAAATTTGCTGTACAGTGAGTGGAGGGTATTATATAAGTGGTATAGTTTTAGTCACGCAAAACCAAAGCACATTTAAATCTATAAAAGATTACTTCTCAGGTTGCATACATTACTAAAAAAATATTGCATACACACTATAGCAATAACGAGAGAGTTTTGCAATTGGTGGTTAAATTCTAAATAAGTGCGAGGAACATTTGAGACAAACCTGGACTTTTTGAGCTTAAAATGGCGATAAAGGAATCATAAAAGATAATGGGACAGAAGATTCTTTCCCGACCTAGTCCTCTACTGCTGTACTTATATTCCTAACTAGGCGTCCAAATGTTATTTGTAGGGAGACTTCTTCAGCACGGCTTAACTGTTCTAAGACAGACCGCTTCACTTTGTCTTTATTAGTGATACACTCTTACCTGCGTGCTTTCATTGCACTCAGGCTATTTCATATTCCACACCAAAGTACTCCACATAGGTTTCACTACATCTAACAATGCTAACCACACCCACTTTTTAGCCCTTGTCAGTACACTCCCCTAACTCAGCGCAAATCAAACACTTCAAAGTGCCAACACTGCCCAGTAGGGAAATTTTGGAATGATATTTAGTGCGCACTAACTTTCTCAACTCGCAGACATCCGTGTTCATGCAGAATAACTTTTTTCGACAAATCCGTGTCGTAAGTCATGATGTGCGGTGTGGTGTAATGTTATACATTCCTGTAGAAGGATTCGTGTCCTGTTAAATATTGTCACACAACAAGGCATGAGTGGATTATGCGTCCAAGATGAGTTGAAAATCTACAATTCACTTCCCACAAGCTAGCTTAATGTATACAAGATAGATTGCCTGGGCGATAATGCAGTAGCTACTGTTGATGAAAATATTACTCGTCGGAGTGGTGGGGGTTGCGGTAGTGGTATAAGCAGAAGTAATTCAAGAATAACCACGGCCATCACTGACGTTTAGATGCACAGCTGACGATCGTTTGCAAGTGTTCACACCATTTGACTATGTGTCCTACTCCGACTGAGTAGCTGAGCGAGTGGCTCAGTAGTTGGCATTCCAATCACAATATTGTTCCTTTTAGAGATTTTCGCAGATGCTGCTACATATTTACGACTTCTCATACGATGGCCTAATTGGCAAGAAGCATCCTTTTATCACTACACTATGTTCCCCATTCAGTGTGAACTTTTTGTTCCATAGGCATGTTTGCTATTCCATGAGCTTATTCTCTACACGTGTGCGTTGCCGTTGTTACCGTTTCTTGTCCTCTTCATTAATAATGTCTGAATTGATGAAGGACGTGTGCGTAGGCTAAAATAACTGGGATGTGCTCGTCACGTTTCACAGATGCAGCATCCCCACGATAGCATCACCCTTTGATTTTCTGAAAAATTCCAAGCCTTGTTTTGTTTTGAATGCTTCTGTTTTCTATTTTCGCGATATCTGTAGGCAATAATGTTGTTATAATCAGGTCTCAATGACGTGCGACTCCAGATAGTACAGGACACAGGAAAAACCTTTTTTCGGGCCGGCAGCAAAGTGGTCTTTGCATGTACAATGGTACCTAGTGTAAGCGAAAATATATTTGAATCTGTCCTCTACTGGAAATTATCTGACAACATGGTCGAATTGCAACAACCGTTCATTGACTTATCCCATCTACAACCGGGAAAATACAACAGCTCCTGTTGGTCGAGCTCTTTAACAATTCCAGTCTTAAGACTGTTTTACATCATTGGTAAGTATGGAACTTTTGCGTTTTCTCAAGTGCATTCCTCAAACTAAAACCTTCTATGTAAATTAATGCCTCTTAGAAATTCGTGGATTTCTTTATTAGTTCATACTTCCTTGAGAATATCGCAAATCACCCAATAGTTGGAGCTCATTTCGTCCTTCGAGGTGTGTGCCAAAAGTCACAATTAGTACTGATAACTTAGGGACATGAGTTCCTAATTTAAGAAAGAAAGTTAGGTAAAGTAGTCTTTCTATTTGTCAATGAATTGGAATCTTATGTAACACAAGTTGTCATGCCTTACTTTTATTTCTTCGAATAGGAGAAAATGCGAAATTGACCTTAAGGAATCGGGAGAAGAGGACCTACTTGGTTGGCCAACAGATGCCTGATTGTATTTGGAACGAAGAGTGGATGAATAAACTACCTGAACTTGCCCCAACTACTTTCATTAGCGATTCACCGCAAGAAAGAAGGACAATTCGCACGATATCATGCACTTTTAAGGGAGATGACATTATGGAAAGATACTCGGAATCCATAATTATTGTCAGTAAGTTTTCGTTATACACCAAAGATAAAACCGATTTGGAAACGAATCATTGGCACCGCACGAAGAAAATATATCCCCACTTTTTTCATCTATGCAAGAAGCGGGCCTATTCAAAGCAGATGATGTTAATGGCAGAAGTATTCAAAATACTGTTAATTGCAAGTTATTTGAAATGTTTCTTAATTAGAGAGCTAAATCACTTGAAAGTGGTCTGATCAGGCTAAAAGGTAATAACAGTAAATTACAGGGATTTCCAGTAAGTACACAGATTTGCCAATGTCTAGTTCGAGGTGAAGTGAAAGGACGAGCATGGCTTGATATCAAGACTGCAAATGAGACTGCAGAGACTATGGTTGTCAAAGAAATACGGTTAAGTTAAAAAAAGATATAACGGTAGAATGTCAAGTGTTGAGTACGAAGAAGAAATTTATAGGGCCTTACGACGGTCTTTAATGTGTAGGAACTAAAAAATGTGGCTTATTTTAAAAGGAAAATCATATCCCTTTTCTACTTAATTGTTGGCAGGAATATTACAAAACGCTGCTAGCATACAAAATCGGATACTGCGATTTCCCTTTTTGATGATGGATGGCTAAGATTTACTAGTGTTGCGTTGGTTTTGGCTATCCTTTGCAGCTCTCTAGGTAAAAAAACAGAAATTACTAATGCCACAACGTACCTGTGGTGGCAGTATTTCATCTACGTGCTGTCAGAATTAAACATGGTGCACTGATTACTTTGGTTATTCTTAACTTCAATAGAGAAGGAGGAACTTCGGCTGAAGTTGAGCGAATCCTATGCTGCTGTGCTAAAAGAGACCCCAACTATAGTTTGCGACTTGGACCCTCCAATTCGGGGCATTGGGGAGCCTTATTTTTACCCAGTGCGAGAATTTGGTCTCGCTAAAATAGAAGGCAATCGACTAATTGCAGGCAACTCCAATTCAAACTCTTCCAATGGTACATACATTTGCATATACAACAAACATGACCTGTATATGACCAAGATATTTGTCATTTCAAAAGTGGGTGAGTTTTCTCTAGTAGCATAATTCACAACCAAGTTAAGAGTAGTTCGCTAAGATGTAAGCGATTGTAAATCTGCATTTCTTTAGATTTATCTTCGAGTCCGATGATTTCTCCAGTAAAGAGGGAATTCGTCAATGGCGAGGAGGTACAGTGCTCAGGCACAAAAGACTCTCAGTATGGCTACTATGCGATTGATGTCCTCCACAAGGATACTAATATATCTTTGATCACTAAAAAACAGACCCGTGCTACCCTATTATCGGCCTTTGTGATTGAAATTGCCATTTCCTGCACCTTAAGAAACTCTTATTTGAATTCCGAGCTTGAGGACAAAAGTGTCACACTCAGTGCAATTGTCAGACGTAAGTTGATTGTTCGCTTTCACTGTGGTAGGGGTAGACTGAACTCCATACATAGGCTAAAATTTCAAGGCCATAGCTGTTGCTATTATTTACAATGATTAGGATATGCACTAGAATTATGGCCTTTTTGAAATTTGTGCACTTGGTTGTGAGCGGGATTCGAGAACCAGATCTGGTGATTCTCAAAATTAAATGAGGGAAAGCGCGATTCATCTGATCATTTGCTACACTTTTGCTTCGTTCTATATTTATAAATTTGCATTTAGACCCAACCCGATTGATCTTTACTTTCCTAACTATCAAAGAACATTTGAGTTGGTGAAATAATTCCAAAATCTGTGGTGCTATTGTCCCAGGATATCATTATTCATATCATCGGTCCTATACATTAATATTTATAGCGAGTCACACTTAAGGAGAACTTGGTTTTCGGAACATCGAAGGTGTTGAATACGGATCATGAGTTCTTCCTTTTTTTGCAGCCAAGAAGTTGATTAATTTGAAGCCGGGTGATCGGAAATATGTGGATACTTCAACGGTTGTTCACTGTGCTTTCGATAGCACCCCAAAGATAGGTCAACATGTCACTCTCAATCTCTTCATCTATCCACTTGGATATCGAAACAAGGTTGAGAAGATTTCATTGTTTTCCTTCAAAGAACTGGGTGCTATTGGAGGTCGTTACTTCTTCGTATGCACAATCGTTAACAATGATGGACCATTCTGGGCAAATATCGATGAAATAATCTTCCTTGGTATGCATTCTACTGTTCGTATTTACGGTAGTATAGTTAACTCAACTCTGTCTGATAACAATCGGGCTGAGTTTATCTGTCTCCTAAATAAACAATTGACTAAGCAGAGAACAATTCCACTTTTGTATTTAGATACGCCAGCGATTCCTAAGATATCAGGAAAATATATATATGGGGACCAGGGTCTCTACTGTTTGACTACAGAATACCCCATTTGGAACCGCATGCTGATTGCTTCAACGGAAAGTGAAAACGGGGAAATTGTAAGGGACGGAAAAGGCCTCTACCGGTTTAGCAGGCAGTCCTGCTATGGGTATTACAATATCACCTGTGAGGTATATGGATACTACAACCTTATAGCATTCTATTTTCGTGCTACATACCGAATTCACTACACCGGTGAGTAGAGTGACATGCATAAAGTCATTGGAGTATTCCCCTTGCCCTCAATAACAGCGCTTTAGTTTGTTACTTCTAAGGGTTTTATGGGTGGGAGCAGTAGACGATTTGATGATAAGGGTGACCTTATGTGTTTATTTATTTGCTTTAAAGGGCCAGAATATAGCACAAAGAATGCCGTTGATATAAACAGAAATGATATCATTCGCATTTATTCTCTGTTCCTCTTGATGGTCATCATTCTACTTATCCTGACGTTCCTGGCACTTGAAAATTACTACCGTCGCCAACACATCTCATATGTCACTAAGAGCCAGAATTACGAGCGATTTCAAAGCAAAGCACTAAAAGTATGTAATATTTAATTAAGTTTTACCTAGGCATTATTATTTTAACATTTTTAATGAATCACCGAAGTACATGTTTTTTTGAGCGAGTTTTAAATAAAAGTATCGGGTTTGCAAAAAAAATGGGTAGCCTTGACATAGTTCGCGCTTCGGTGGTTTTGAATAATCGTGTTACAAAGTGGCAGTTGAAGTGTGTGGGTGGGATTTAAGCTAATCGGCTTCGTAATACGTACGGCTGCTCTGTGTCACTATTGAGATACAATAGTGTAAAATGCACTTTTTGCTAAGAGCAAACGTTTCCAGTGGGAAGCTAACAGCTCAAGTTGGTGAAACTCGAAGACGTGCATGAATCGTGGAACTTGTCAAACAGTGGGGAAAAAGTTCCATTTATGGCCCCAAGACCTTAACCCACTGCTACAAAACCTAGTTGTGGGAGGATTTGCACGTTAGGCATGACAAGAGGGAAGAAAGAGAAGACACTGACTTTTTCTCATCCTCATTCCTACCCTCTGTATACTTTTGATGACACTTCCTTAGTCTCTAGGCATTAGCGTTGGTGGTAATGGTTCCCTTTCCTTGCATACCCCGATTGTGAACGTGATTATAAACCTGGGAACTTTTGTTAATGCTTGCAAAGAAACGGACTAGTTAAAATGACCAAATACAAGCCTCTCCCTTTGAAATTAACCCTGACGTAGACATTCTAAACTTCTCGATTCGTCAAACATCCAGAAATTTACGTTTGTCTAGAAGCGCACCATGGCCCCTTAAAGTGGGCTTTGCACTTGGAGGGTTTGAAAGTCAATTCGCTGGGCTTTCGATCGGTCGGTAAAGTGTAGACAGTCACCACGTCGAGGGGATCGGTGAGACGAAAGGAGATCATTGTTGTGTCTGATAAGCTAATTTTGAGGCTATCATGAAAACCACCATGTGTTATGACGAAAAGCCACGAAGTCAAGTGTTATACAGTTATGATCGGGAGGCTGTCGTGGTGACACGATCCCTTTCACCTTTGTCCTCGAATAGAAAAATTTGCAATAACGAGGTTGTTTATGCTCACGACAGTTGCTATCTCTTCTTACTTGAGTCCTGTTGACTACTCCAAATCGTGTTCTAAACCACTCGGTTAAATTCTAAAGTAGTAAGGAACAGTCTCATCATACACCTCAGTAGTGAAATGCTAAGGGAAGTTTAGCTCTGTGAATAAAATTATTAACTGGTGGAAAAATTAAGCTGTTGCGTTGCTATGTCCTGGCTGAACCTTGAATGCGGAGTAGTTAAGTTACCACATTTACACAGGCCGTCTCAATACCTTCTGCTTGTCATCCATGTTTGTCCTACACTGCACTCCCATTCCCCGTTCGTGCAATTTGGCTCCAGATCTGTAGGATGCAAAGGGACAGAAGAAACGAAGGTGAGGCCTAAGTAACAAATCCGATTAAAGTAATGCGCGAGATCAATGTCCAGCTCTTTTAATGTAAATGTTGCATAGCTGTATAGTATGTATGTGTGATTAGGCTCTCAATATAATCTTACTTACCTCCAACTAAAAATGATGCTCTCAAAACCTTGCGTATTGGATACTAGCTATTTAAATGTCTGGACTACCCACTGAACTTTCCGGCTCCTATTTGTAGGGACTGCAAGGTCAATTTCTCCGAATTGATCTCAAAGATATTCCGACAGACGAGGCATTAAAATTCATGACAATTGTAAGACTATTCGACGCCGCCTACGCCCAAGTTCGACCTAATTTCAAGAGAGGTGCAAAGAAGGCTAAGAAGACTCGATACAATTGGAGAAAATTCATGCATCTAAGCAAGATGGCAGCGAATAACTGGATGAGTGGCAGAATTCTGCTTCGAAGGCGCAAGATAGTACGCTCAAGTAGTGAAGACTCCCTGGAAACCACTGAGGCCAAACAGAGTGCAGATAAATAGATTAACTGGACTATAATCACAATTCACGTCAATTTTGATGTCCTGCACGTCTAAAAACGTGGTTGTTAAGATCCTGAGCAAAACTTCTAGGCCTAATTTTGATATTTTATCAAATTCGCAGGAGTAGTTGAGTCGGTGTCAGTGGTGAATCTCAGAACTACGCATTAATCCGGTTTGCCGGTGCTTTTAAGCATCTGAAAACCGAGCTTTGCCTATTAAAGAACAGTTTTGAAACATGCACAACTTCTGTCTGAGATGAAGGTAAGGCACATGAAGCCGACGACAACCACCGTTTATTTATATTAAACCAACCCAGCAGGAGCAATTTTGATTTCAAAATTTAAACGGGTGGCATTGATTTGTGGTATCTTCTACCCTCACTTTCGGGCAAATTTCAATTGACAATCGGAGCATGCTCAGAAGCGATCCAATATTTAGCATTCAACTCGATTCATATTGACGCATTATGTATGAACATTGCCTATCTACTTAAAGGGCTGATACGCATGATTTGGTCACCTAATTCCTCTGGCAACTGACAGAGAAACTTGGGATGCTATCTACAGTAGCTGAGATATCCCATTAACTGACTCCTCCACTCCACAGCATTTGCAGCATCAGGGAGTTCCTTTTGTGCATGATACAGGTCTGTAGCTTATTTTAACTCGTACCATTTTACGCTGCCGGAGACTCCATCACCCTTGAAGTGTGACACGTGTGCAAACGGGGCCCGGCCACTGCCTCTTCTTGGGGGCTCCGATGTGCTGCTGAGAAGTAAAGGAAAAAGGTAAGAATATTGTGCCACTGAGTCAAAGTAGAAATCAGTATCACTGAGGTAAGAGGGTCCATGAATTCAAAGTAAAACAAATAACATTCTTTAGTAAGCCATACCCCTCCATTCACATAAAATTTATCGGCGTCACCAGCATTCGCCAGTCCGTTTCAATTCTCACAACATATTCAGTACCACGCCATCCATTTATGCTTCAGGATAGGTCATGCTTTGGTCCTGATCTCAGCCATGCATCTCGCCATAAACAGCGAAGCTAGAGTTTAATCATCTTTAGGAACAATGCTACAAAAAATCACTAGCTATTTACGCTTGTTTTGGCATAGTCTGTGATTCGCAATATTTGCGATTTAATTTGCAGGAAAATTAAAGTGTCTACCTCAGTATAGGCTACTAGGACTAGGAAAGCAAATTCATGCATGAAGCGTAGCACTCTCCGCATAAGCTGATTCACAATTGGTGGATTGTGCCCACATCTTAGATACTAACTCTATACTATGCAATGTGGGTCAATGCCACACTTCCGTCTCCTTCATTATTTCACATGACAAAGCACGGGACATACACGGAAATTGTGGCCGAATAGGATAAGTGACATAAGACGGGACAGATCTCACCAAATTTTTGGCGGATGTTGTACAACAGAATGGAATGTAAGCCATTAAGGGCCAGTTTGGAAGGATACAGCTTACTAAACGAAGTGGACCGGTAGGTGGCCTGCTGGATAGGGTGGTCAATTTTTGAGGAGTGCAGTCATGGGTTGTCTTCTATACATATGTTTAATCGTCGGCCATGGCTACTTTATGAGGACTGAATAGGTTCTTGTCAGCCTTAGAGTTGGAGCCCAGATTGGTGTGCCAACTAATTCCAGGTTCGTGTCGGCGGTTTCATTTTTTCGCGGTGAGAGCAATAGAATTATCAATGTGCTTGCATTACTTCATATCTGCCTATTCTAGACCAATGAGGCTCGAGAGACCAAACCATGACTCTAAACCCCACTTAAGTGTTTGTTAATTAACAATCAGTTGAAACTTATAGAGAATCTTACAACAGAGCCTGTCTGAGGTTTCGGATTTCTTGACCACGCCTTTTTTGGATGGTAAACCTAAACCGACATCGATATTCAGAGGAAATTGAATGTAGTTCCAGCTTCATTATTATGGTCGACTTAAAAATTCTAAAGCTGGTGACTGATAAATGTATTTCACAATGAGGTTTATGATCCTAACATTTGGATTGAAACTGAATTCTTATGTCCATCAGATAACGGGGTTCTTTCACCTCATACTTTAGCTATATATATGAAAAATGGCAAGATAAATAGATGTATTCCGTTCACGACAGTACTTCACACGACTCTTTAAGACACAAGGCCCCATAACCGTCACTCCCGTTTTCTTTAATAGCTCTTTTTGCCAAATCAGAGTGGCCATGGCGGTAAATAATCATTAAGGCACTGATCATAAGTGTCGAACACTTAATAAACTCTGCCAGATATTAGAAATTTTCAAGACTAGCGCAGAGCTCGCATATCAACAGGGTAACGGTCACCTGGAAAGAGCAAATCACGATCTGACCGGACCGCTAAAGACCTTTATTAGGAAAAATCACAACCACGGGACTACGATTGAAATCTGGGGCGAGTTCTTTGGCCTACAGAGCAACAGTCCATCCATCAGCCGTCGTTTCACTGTTTAAGATGCTCACAGGTCGCAAAATGCAAGTAACTTCTAACATTGTCTTAGCAATTGCGTAAATAGCAAATGGAAGCGTTCCAGAGTAAGTGCTACAGCTGGAAGAGGGAATGAGAATAACTTTTAACATCATACCTGAACATTAATGACTGCAACACATTGGGCAGAAGGAATATTACTTCAAACGAAGTGGCATCTACATCTACTAACGCCTACTACAAGCGCAATCGTACAATGCGATCGCGCCACTTGAAGTGCATGGCAATTTTCAACTACCGTGGAACGATGATACAATTCGAGCGATAAAGTCATCTCATCAACATAGGAAGATATTCGAGTAGTTGTCCCTTAGGGTTGGATTCGCATGTCGATCCCATGAATGCAGCGCTGTAAGTCTTGACCGAGGCACAAAGGATTTTACAAAATGAGGTCAGAAAATGCATTGCTGACTTAGAGAAGGGATGAGCACTACTTGCATGGCCGGAGTTTATGTCACTTAGTGGTGGTGCAAATACGAAGCCCCAGATGCCCGCAAAATAAAAACGAAGAGTTCAACTACTAATCGAGGCATAGCAAGTAGGCCTATTAACCAGTTATTTGTTTCCGATTTAAATGATATTACCACCTAACTAGAAGTTAAGATACGACAGAAAGTATTTGTTCATAAATCCATTCCAGTGAGGCTACTCATCTTGTGATTCCGCTTGAATGCTACCAAGTGGCTGTGGGTTATTCTGACTAAAAAGGTTGGGCTGATTGTGTGTGGAAGCACTTGACACTATCAATTTTATATTTATCTGCAAATTTCCATGGCTTGTTTTCTCAATGGCGTGCACGCTGCTGATGTGGTGAAATTTTTTTTAATGGCTAAACTTATGATGGAACCTTGGCTCTGAGCATAATTCCATGGATGCACTCATCCCGTAGAAAAGAAGTTGCAGATTATAATCAAAGTATTTTACCGGTAAACCACATGTTACGTATTTTTCCCAATTGTTTCATTGTGCTTGAACATTTGCATTTAGGCGTAGAACGAACAATTATGAATCCCCGGAAACATCTCTGGCTCGGACGTTTTAATCTTAGGTAACCAGGTTTAACAGAGAAGGGGAAGGATATTCCTAAGTCAGAATTAATTTCTGTGGTTGAAGTTCAGATTGCCTACTCCTCGAAGAATCTTGTATTTCTTTGCTATATTTCACAAAAATTGCATTCAGGACTAATTTGCATCTGGCTACTGCAATTAAGCATTAATAGGTATTTCAAAATCATCAGTATGAAAGAAGGACTATATTTTGCAGCTGTAGTGGTTTTATGGCCATATTATTTCGATTTTAGAAGTAACTTATTAAGCACTACCTCTTTTATGCACTTTGTGATGGAAAATGGGCTATTTCCTTCGTCGTCCTCTAAGGAAAATAAAGGCCCAAATCTCTGCTGTGAATCAGAGCAAAATTAAGATCGAATAACTTTACTGAACTCTTTCGATTATTATATGATACGACATTTTAATTTCGCTTGTACTGAGGGTGCAGCTTTCTTTACTCCCGCTGGACAAAATATTGTCCCATACATGCCAATGGTCGACCAGCACTTCCATACTTTGGCAAGGCAATTTCTGCGCCAGTATTGTAAGTTTTTTCATCTTCAGGAAAGACTCCGGGTACAACAACTGCTTCAATTTTCACTTTGCCTTTAAACACTATTTTCGATTTGAAACTTTACTTTTCAGTTTCT